ATTCTTTAAGCTGGCAGCCATCAAAACTGCCTTTAAAAAGCTCTACCAAAATTGTGAACTCTCTTGGGATTACAAATCCTGTGCCTATTGTTCATGCTACTCCACAAATAATTGCCAATACTTCAAAGTCAGGCACTCCATCTTTTGCAACAACACTGTCTACATCTTTGGTAGTGGTCACCTCATCTTCTACTCAAGCTAAAACAACTTTAGTTCCTGCAACCCACACTAGTACCTCACAGCTACAAAACAGTAAGTCTGTATTGCACCTAGATACATCTATTAAAAAACTGATGGTCAGCCCTGAAGGAGCCATTTTGAATGCTATAAAGACTCCAACATCAGAAACTTCATCTCTGTCTTCATCCTTCTCTGCTGACCTTATTTCTACAACTAAGAATTCTGCTGTTGTCTTCCCCAGTTTTCTGAACTCCAGCATAGGTGTCCCAGACACAGCTGCATCTTGAATTTCAAGTAAATGAGCCGTTGAAATTTTGGGGCATTTGTATGTGTGCGTGCGTGTGTATGTGTATAAAATTAATTTATAATTGTTTTTTAAAGTACACTGTTTGAAACATCTGACTTATGTCCATGAACCCAAGGCATGTAATGGCATGTTTTGAGCAGACAGAACAATGAAGCAAAAAAAATATTTTTGCATATCGTTGAGAATTCATGAGTGGAAAGGATCCAGGACGAGATAGATAGCAGCTACACAGCTTGCTGTTAACAACAAAATGTTACCTGTTAACACGTTAAAACACCTGTCACGTCTCAAGGATTTGTGTGCACAAAGCCATCAGTGATTTTTTTTTAAAATTCATGTTACATTGAGGATCATTTCAGTTTTTCTTTTTTCAAAAAATGGTGAGAAAGCACTTGAAATATCTTTCAGAGCAAAGCTTTTAAAAGGCTTTTATTAAAGGGGGGGGGAAACTGTTCAAAGATATAGAAAGCGATGTTTGGTTCTTGGTTGGCACATTTACTGGGATCTGTTCTTATAATTTAGAAATTTTCTATTTTGTTTTCAAATGTTCCCATGTTCTATATTGATGTGTTGCAAAAATGCAATCTATGGTGTAAAATTGTACATAATCCCAATTCCTTAACAGTATGGACTAAACCATGTGTAAAAAGAATTACTCTGTCTTATTTATGTTTTGTTTACATAATGTATAGTTTTTTAAGTATTTTAGTAATTTTGGATAAGTGTACTGTTTAGCAATAATGCAGAAGGATCTGTATGTAATAAACAAAGTTGCTGTATTTCTGCTTCATAATACTCCGTGGAGACAGGATATTTGCCAGTAAGATATCTATGTACTTGTATTAGGAAATCAATGAAGGTTTCAAAATATTGCCTCATAAGCACACATGGTCAGACATGGTCCAGTATAACATGGCATTTACCCTTGAGTAAATGGCTCACAATTATGATTCTTATTCTTCAACTTTTACAGCTCTTCTGTGTATCTTTTATAGACTTCCTAAAGTGTTGCAATATAGTAACCATAGATAGGACATGAACATTTGTTCACAATTTCAAATGGGTTATTAAAAGATAAACATTTCTGTTTGTCTGGATTAAAATGGCAAAGAAACCTAAATAGTTAATACACTATGATGTACAATAATGCAATCATTACGGGTAGACAATGAAGAGAGTTGACTTTCTTTGAATTGCCAAAATTGAAAATATTAGTCATCTGTTCCTCACCATAGTGAGCTCCACACTATTCATACTTTCATTAGGATTTCACAAACAAGTAGTTAAGGGGCACAGTTTGCATCACAGGTTTTTTTCCCCTACCCCACCTCCCTTTTGTGAATGTATGTTTAGTTACAGTTCTCATAAGAGAAGTATAGCATGCAGTAGCTACCAACCACTTTTCTTCAAACACAACCAATAGCTTTTGCCACTTCAAGCCACATTCTGCTCTGTTTTCTATTACATCATTGCAAATTCAACATACTAAGTATTTATATCTGGAACAAATCAGAGAGGAACCGATGGTTTGTCTGTTGATTGTATCTTCTGAAAACAAGCTTCATAACTGGTGGTTAGTGGCTGTACCTCTTGGATGGAATCACTGGATCTACTCATGGCTAAACACCTGTGGATGGTGGCCATAAAGCACTCTTAATCTGAAATATACTTTCAGATTTCAAAATTAGGGTTTCCTCTTGGATCAGAAATGGAGCACTGTGGTTAACACAGAACTATCGTAGTACATAATTGTCAAACACTCATTAAGATTATTTAATGCTGCCTTTAAGATTATATATTTATTCTCATAGTGCCATAACAATATATAAAAAATCTTAAAAGTGTACTTTTTACAAACAAGGAACTTAAATTTTCCTAAGTGAACCTTAGAATATAATATCTCAGATTCATATGTGATTTTATATATAGTAGATCTGGCTGGTTCCATAAGGTAGAAGGGTATATGGATCTCAAACCTTTCCAGAAGCCTTTTGGAGCTTCACCCTGGTTTACATCCTAATTTGGAATAGCATCTTGGGAGTTCCAGTTGCCCCACCTGTTTCCTGGGGTACTTCAGTCATCATCTTTCTCATAATCCTGGTGTATGAAAGAGATAGCCCCTTATGCCCCAGGCTGTCTTTCTGAAAATTAAATAGTAATGCCCCCTCCCAAAAGAGGGAATGATATTTATATTGTAATCCTATGATCATATCACTAAAAAGATTAAGACAAGACTGTTTTTCTTTGGCATGTATGGCAGATGTGGTTACTTAATATAAATTCTGAATTGATAATAACATTCTTTGTGACTGTTTCTTTACAGTTGCTTTACAGATAACTAGGAGTCAGGTGAGACAAATCTGGCGTCTTTTTCTTAAAAACAAACTGGTGCCCAGGAAATAACTAATCCTTTATTTCCTAATGCAATTTTCCAGATTTGTTGCCTAAAATTTTTGCTACTGCAGAGGACATTGTAACCTGTTGCTCATTTGCTGAAAGTGACCCAGTTTAGATTACTTAAGAGAGCATAACAGGAAGAGAGTTAATACAGTGGAGTATTATGCTCCCAATTCAAATCCTCTATGGTAATTTTAAAATAATGAAAAGGTTATGAATCTCCTATAATATAACCAGTTAGATCTTTCATCAAACAGGTCTTCATCAAACAGTTCAGTTACCCCTAAATATATAACAGACAACAACTAAAGTGTCTAAATATGAATTAAAATTGCCAGATTTAATGCAAAGTTAAATGCATATTTAATAAAGATATTTTTAAATTTATATACCACTTTTTAAAAAGCCCCTAACTGGTGTACATGTCATGCAACAGCAATATGACACCAGTGCAAAATGACATGGAATACAGAACAAGAAAACGCCATCTGCATACAAAGTTCATTGATCTGAAAATGCTGAGAAATATGAAAGACTGAATGTTGTCATCTGACCCATAAAGTGTCCCTGACTATTTCTACCAATACCCTCACCTACCACTCTCACATAAGGGCGTGAGTTAGTGGGAATCTGCTTAAAGACAAACAAAACAATAATAGCAGACCTTTTAATAAATCTTACTGCAGAAAAACCTGAACAATCTAAAACAGGGGTCTTCAAAACTTGGCCCTTTTATGACTTGTGGACTTCAACTCCCAGAATTCCTCAGCCAGCGTGCCTGGCTGAGGAATTCTGGGAGTTGGAAGTCCACAAGTCATAAAAGAGTCAAGTTTGAAGACCCCTGATCTAGAAGATGAAGAGCATTATTTTTAGCAGCTTCTCCAAAACCCTTTCAACAAACAAAATGCAAATGATTGTTTCAGGAGACTTTTAATACTTGATTAATTGTGCTAATTCTTTCATATTAATATTTCATTTCTTTGTTTTCCATTTCATTTTTAGGAATATATCAATATTTTGTTGTGAATTATTCTGAATAGGGTTTCAACAGAGCAAACTATTGATAGTAAATTACGTAATTCCCTCACCAAAGCTTTTATCCTAGCTATTCTTTCTCTCAATATTGCCCCAAAGGAAAAAGGTAAGTAGGAAGACATATTCTGAGAACAAAATGTAAGGATCATTAAAAGTTTTTGCACCCTAAAGGATTACTTCCATATCCTGAAAGTGATGGTGTGCGCATTTTATACCAGACTGAACAAGACTGAAGATAGACCATAATTTCAGATCTTATTTTTCTTCAGACAACTAGCAAAATTAAAAGCTATTGAGTATATATAGGCACTATCAGATGACAAGTTTTAAATACACAGAAAGTTGTACTGCACCCTTTAATATAATGTCTAAAATATAAAATTGCCTCAGATTGAATTTAACTCCTGGTAACTTATATAGACACATTCTTGCAGTTTTCTTGGCATAATGCAGAAGTGACTTTTCATTGTGTTCTCCGAGGAAATTTTTATTCATTTTCCCAGTTTAGCTCATAGCTCTGGATTTTCCAAGTGGTCTCCACAAACCTGAGGAACTTTCTAGATCAGCCAAGGTTAGCTAACTTCCCTTTTTGTTTATGGAGATTCTCAGTCATCCGGGTCATGATTGTCCCAAAGGTGCTTTTTCAAGAGGCAACTGGACTTTCTTGTTTTTTTTAAAAAAAACGTTTTGCTTCTCATCCAAGAAGCTTCTTCTTCAGCTCTGAAGAAGCTTCTCAGATGAGAAACAAAACGTCTTCAAAGAAAAACAAGAAAGTCCGGTTGCCTCTTGAAAAAGCACCTTTAGGATTCCCTTTTTTTTAGCATTGCCATGGATTTCAAGAAGACTGGTTTTTGTTTTTTTAAACTTTATTACTTATATAAAAATGAAATCATATGTTACTGTTAATCTTATATTGAATGAAGATATATAAAATGAAGATACATAGGCTATAGCTTCAACGTCTTAGGCATTTCATGCAAAAGAGGACAGATTTTCTTAAGCAAGTATTTTTGAAAATATTCATATTGGCTTGCATTTTCTCTCCCAGATGCTCCTAGAAATTACTTAAAGTAAGCAAGCACTTGATGAATTCCTCCTACGGTGCGTATGGTGGTGGCAACAGGCTGCTGGAGCTCTTATCATAGGCTGGTGGGGCATCTGGCACCTGTGTCAATGAAAATTGAGTAAGGGACAAGTTAATAATACGCAAAGGAAAATAAAAGCTTCAAAATTCCCAATGCTAATAATCCTCCACCATTATCAATTTCCAGAGGCACAACTGAGCTAGTTTTTAGCAGTCAATATGTCAAGGAGTTATGCAAGTTATATATTATTGCATATATTTCATGATTAATATTCATCAATTGTTGTAAGCATTCCTTGTAAGAAATAGTTTGTGTTCCGGTTGGTAGCTGGAAGTGTGTGTGTGTGTGTGTGTGTGTGTGTGTGCACATGTGCGCACCATTGGTTGGTTTCTAATATAAAATTATGCTTCTCTGTTCATCTAAGAGACAACCAAGAGTTTAAGTTAAAGATTTCATTGTTCAATAATCAACCTTTAAATAAAAAAACCCCTACGATTCCCAGGAATAATCTTCTACATAAGGAGTCCCCAACTCCCAGGCCACGGCCCATTACCAGATTGTGGCCTGTTTGCAACTGGGCTGTGCTACCGGCAGACGAGCATGTTGATGCACACGCAGTTCCACTTGCACAAGCGATGGGTGCTCATGCTCACGCATGAGTTCCATTTGTGTGAGTGGTGGGCGGGTGCACCTGCTGCTTGAACAAATGGAGCTCCACGCATGAGCGTGCACACCTGCCACTCACACAGAACCATCCCCTCCCACCTGCCAGGCTGCCAAGCCAGAAAGGTTGCGGACTGCTGTTCTACAGAATAGACCAACAGTCACTAGTTGCCACAAGTCCCACATAGAACCATATTTATCATCAGTATAGCTAACAGTCAATGATTTTCCTTTTCATGGGCCTTGGATAATAGACCTCTGCTTGTGTAAAATAAACTTAAACCAACTACCAAACAACAGAATGCCACTGTGGTACAATCATAGAGACCCTGTCCAAATCTATCTCTATCATTTAGAGGACCTAAGCTACTAAGCTTTCCATTGGAGAAACTGGATAAACTAGAGAAAATAATAAATTAATTGGATGCAATTGACGACAAAAGGACAAGCCCAGAAATCAACAGAATATTTCAAGTGCCCAGACTATCTTGTCACTGACCTCAAGGTGGCAGCTTAAGAAAAGGAATTTCAAAAATGAATTTAGTAACTACTTAGCTGAATTAGAACAGTCTAGCTGAATTAGAATTCAAAGATTTAACACAATTTCTTATAGATTAAACAAACTCTATACATTTTGACTGACAATACAAGGATGTCTGACTTAACTAACTACTTTTTAGTTCTGGCTACTTAGATAAATCTGTTTCTTTTTCCCATCCTGCCCTTCTCTTTCTCTTGTCCTCAAACCTCTGTGAATATAGAAGATCGCCATGTGTGAATATTCTGAAAAGAAAACCCTCCATGGAGGGTCCTGCTTCCCCAAACAATCGCTCCATTTCCACATGCCCCATACGCACCCAAACACTTTTCACGCAAACAAAGAACTGACGGAGACTGGAAGCTTCGAATGCTTGCAAATGGGGTGCTTGGGAACAAAGCTCATCGCGGCCGCAACCGGGCAGGCCAGGCGATGAGCGGAGCGCTCTGCCAGTGTCGCCACCGCTTCCCCCTTGGAGCTGCAAGTGCGAGGCAGTGCCTGTCTCCTTTAAGCCCATTGAGGCTCCAGTCTGGGCGCTTAGGGTTAAATAGTGCGCAGCTGTTGCTGGTGGGGCCATTCTGGGGGGATTCTGCTCTTGCTGTTGCTGCTGGGCCGCCCCCTGCCACTGCCTCCCAAGCTCCACCTTCACCCGCTGCCCAGCCAGACAACGCATTGGGCAATTGCAAGAAGGCTGCAGCTCATTGGCTTGCCTGCTGGGTAGAACCTGCCTCAGTGCCCATACTAGGAATGGATGGTGCTTGGGGGGGCAGTCTGCAAAGGAGGGGGTGGAGGAGAGGGGATGCCACCATTGCTGCTGCTGGCACCATGGAGAGGGTGCACAGAGGAGACCCTTGGGGACTTCGCAGGAAAGTGAGTGCCTGCCTGGCGCGGGGGCACAGGAGATGCAAGTTGCAGGAATCGGGATGCCACATTGGGGAGCCGGAGGTGTCCGTGGAGCCACTTCATCTCTGGGGCTCTTCTGATGATGGGTCTGCTCAGGGCGGCTGGGAGGAAACTTCAAAGTGGCGCAGAGGGGAGCTGTTGTCGCCGCCACAAGGTGAGGCAGGGCAGGAGCCCACATGGCTGCCCGCTCACTCCGTCCCACCACAAGGTGAGGTGAGGCAGGTAGTGGGGCAAGGGGGCTCTGGCTGCAGGGGCCCTGAGGTGTGGGGGTGGGGGCATGTGGATCAGCTCCACCCCTCCTACCTGCCTGGCCTCACTCATGGCGGTGGCACCGGTGTGACACGCACTCTTCTGCCCCTTTGCAGCAGCAAGCAACCAGACGGTGGGACAGAATGGGCGGGCTCTTAATTAGGGCTTATTTTGGGGGTAGGGCTTATATTAGGCACATACGTAAAAATCAGGCTAGGGCTTATTTTCGGGATAGGTCTTATTTTCAGGGAAACACGGTATATATGTGTATTGCATGCTAGGAGCAATGGATACAGACAGAATTTTTATTTTTTTATTATTATTATTTTTATCAATCTATATCCAGCCCAAACTTCTCATTTTAGGACATGTATCTCTCCTAACTCTCTTTTTAAACTGACTGTCTAAATCAGGGGTGTCAAACTGCCGGCCCGCAGGCCGGATGCGTCACGTAGAAGCCGCGCCCACCCCATTGCCGGCAATGGCAAAACTGGCCCGATACGTTGCGCGATGTCACATGATGTCGCGAGTTTGACATGTCTGGTCTAAATTGTACCCTCCTGAAGCATTTATCAAAAGTAATGATAAGCAATATCTTACCACGTGACTATCGCTGCTGGTGTAGTCCCGCAAGGGCAATTTGGAGTCACTGAAGGAGCTTCTGCCTTTTGAGTTGGACAGAGGGGCCAATCCAAAATTCTTACTCTTTGGCACAAAGACAAATATTAGAAAGAGTTCAGCAGAACAGAAAGGCAGGGTATTAATAAAACAAATGAATAGAAAAGGAGGCAAAAGGGTTCTTGAAATGCAAGGAGGAAAACATATTGTAACATAAGGAGAACAGTTTAGGCTAAGTCTGGTTTTACATGTGAGGCAAATATAAGATTGTCTACAATGCCAGTTGGAACATCCATTCAATTTCTCTTCTACTGTCTATTCTGCATTAACCTAAAGAGTCCTTGTGCCACATACAAAAGCAGATTCTCCTTTCTCTAGTCAAATGTTGTCAGACTATAACTGCTAAAATGACTTTAAATTGTGGCTGATGAATTCTTGGGAATTTCATGTGTAAGAAGAAAGATGGGCTTTAAATATACTAACTTTTTAGAAACACTTTTCAGCAAGAAGGGATAATACATTCCTGATTATGTTAATGCAAAATGGTTAACTTTTCCATGGCTATTGAGTAACTCGACTCATAGCTGCATTTATGCTCAGGCTCAGCATCATGGCTGTGGATCAAATGTTTCCAACCTGAAGGCCCGTGGTTCAATTCGCTTTAAAATTTGTGTGCAGCTCTCAGCCATCCAAATTTACCAGCAAACTATAATTTTTCATATTACAGCAACAAGAAAATATTGAATATATTGAAGTAATTGTTATTTCAACATATTCTTAATTAAATCAAATTTGATTTGTGACTGAATCTAATTTGTTACACCATCCCAGACACTTCCAATTTGCTTCCAGGTACAATTCAAAGTACTGGTTGTTACTTGCAAATTCCTACATGGGATGGGGCCAGCACATTTAAGAGACTGCCTTATTCCCAGAGTTCCTATCAATTCCATCAGATTGACTAGAGGAGCATGCTCCAGATCCATCTTTTTGGGATTGTTATAAAATGGGACCCAAAGAATAGCTGGACCTCACTCTAGAGCAGTGATGGCGAACCTTTTAGAGACCGAGTGCCCAAACTGCAACCCAAAACCCACTTATGTATCATCGAGTGCCAGGTGGGCATGGCCCATTGGGTGGGTGTGGCCAATTGGGTGGGCATGACCCATTGGGTGAGCGTGGCTGCGGTGGTAACGGCAGACTGGGTGGGACTAAAAAGTTCAATCAATAAATTCCAACTTTGCGAGATCTTTTTTCCCCCCACGAGAAGTTGAAATTGATTGATTGAACCTTTTTTTTTTTGCACACAGCAGCGGAGGCCTAAAGCAAAAAGGTTTTATAAAACCCAGCTGAAGGCCTAGGACTGGGGCAACGGTGCACGTGCCCACAGAGAGGGCTCTGCGGGCCACCTGTGGCACGTGTGCCATAGGTTTGCCACCACGGCTCTAGAGTATCATACTGCCATGAGATTTGACTGGCCCCAACTCTATTCCTCTTTCAGAAAGCCTTGAAGACCTGGTAATATCCCTTTACATGTGTGTGTGTGTATATATATATACATCACACAAATATATATAACACAAAGGGATTCCCAAATGCACCATTCACCGTGTGTGTGTGTGTAACTTTGAACATGTTCTCCACAAAATCAATCAAGTTTCATGCTAACTGAGCTACCCATCTTGTCCAGATGTAGCGAACAAGATTGTGACTGACTCAGTTAAGCACATTGTGTGAATGTAATTACAAAAAGATTCTTAAACAGCTCCAGAATGTATTTCCTTTGGCAATGATCCGTTACAGAATATTTTTATGTATCAAGGAAAAATAGAAACATCACCTGAATCAGATGGTATGGATTCTAAGCAGGCTTGAGTTTAGCATATTTTGTAGAAAGTAAAAAGTGTTCAAACAGGTGGGTCTAATGAATAATACAATAAGAAGGCAGTTTATGCTTACCAGAAGCCTTGTGTAACCACTGTGCCTTTTGCAACACCAACATCCAACAATCAGCAAAACTGCAAGAAGAACTATTAGAATTGCAATACCTGCAGCCCTGTTGAAAAAGACAAATAGATCTAATTACTGCTAAGAATCTGGAATAACTATTCTACGTTTCAAAGGTACATGCAGGGAAAAAGTGACTTCATACTTTACAAAAGATAGTTTTATCATTTAATTGGACATAAAATAACAGTTGTTATTAATAACAACATAGTTTTATAAGGAACGTATTAATATTCAAATGAATTCACAAAAATTTCATTTATCTAGGAAAAAATATACACAGAAACTTGTGGTCAGTTAGGAGCAAAGGAATAAAGTGGAGTTTTGATTACTGCAATTGGTTTAGTGCATGGAGCTCGAGTATCTTTATAAATATGAAATTCTTGGTGTTTCATATAAAATGCTAAGTAAGACATGATGTAGTTAGGACTAGTGCAACATTCAGAGACCAGCCATGGGTTAAATTGTAGTTAAGAATTACAAATTTAATCTTAATTACAAACCATCATCTGTCATAGATTTATTTATGTTATTTCCTGGTCCAATATATCAATCACAGGGGGTGTTAATTTGTGATTAATTCCATGTTCTGTCCTTCAAAGATAGAGACTGGAAGCTGAAGCAACACCCGACTGAAATTCCTCTAGCTGTGATATCTCTATTAATCTGTCTATAACTCTACAGGAAGGTGTGAAAAGGTGTGTGACAAGGTGTGGAGGGAAACTCAGCCTGTGTCTGTGGGTTTACTGCACTGTATTATATTATCTGTTATAATATTGTATATTCTGTTATTGTATTTTTGTTGTACATGCTGTTAATTGCCAGTGAGGTGATACTGTATATAAATTACATACATACCTATTTATTTTATTAAATAGAATTATTTATCAACTATTAAAAAAATCAGGAAACGTGTGCCAGTGCCTTGATAGGCCAGACCAAGAAATCAACCTTACAGGAAGGCTGAAACTATTTTAATTGAGAAGCTTGCAAATCTGATTGTGCTGTACCCCTTCTCCTTTCTTATATTCTTGTGAATTAGGGAAGTGGCTGTCTCAGCCACTTACAAATGTTGTCAGCCTATTGTGGGCTTAAGACATGTTTTTCCCTTCATTGCTTTGATAACAGAGCTCACATATCTCTATCAGGCTCTTCTTTCTTATTCTCTACAACTAACTAACCACTATAAAATAGCCTGTAATCTTGCACAAATGTGGATAACAGTTGTATTTCCTGGTGCTGAAATGCTGGGTAGGTGGCTTATCCATAGTTAGTTCATAGTATAATCTAGCACAGTGGTGGCGAACCTATGGCACTGGTGCCAGAGGCGGCACTCAGAGCCCTCTCTGTGGGCACACGTGCCATTGCCCCAGCTTTGCCTCCCCCCACGACCCCCTCACCAGCAGCCCCCCTGGAGGAGAGTCGCCCCCAAGCGTGGCCCACGCGGAGCAGCACAGCCAAGGACATGGCAGCCAGGCAGCGTAGACAAGACTCTGCCCTCATGCCTCATCACACACAGTTGATGCTGCAGGGCGCAGGCAGAGGGCATGGCCGCGATGGTGCTGCTGGGCTGCCTGGGCGATCTGTGGCAGGCCCTGGAGGCAGTGAGTGGCCCTGGAGGCAGGTGGGGTGGGGCGGGGCAGGGGGTGGAGCGGGGGCAGGGCCAGTTTTTGGGCACTCGATCTCTAAAAGGTTCACCATCACTGATCTAGCATAAACTTTGTCAGGGCTTTTTTTGTCATAGAACGCCCAGACCGGAGTTCCGGCATCTTTTTTGGATGGAACCTTATAGGGTAGGCAAGGCGGGTTGTATGACGTGTGTAAGTTCCGGCACCTTTTTTTTTTTTTAGAAAAAAAGCACTGAACTTTGTTATATATTTTCAGTCCCACAACAAAGTGGGTAGCCATTGTTAAATGCCTCTGCAATTCCACAAGTGAACCATATGTAGTACCAGGGAGTCAAAATAGGACAAAAAGAAGAAAAGCACTCACTTCTGTTGCCCTTTCCCCAAATGAAAAGCACATATTTCAAACTGAATTTTTTTTAAAAAAAATTGTTCCCAAATGCTTACTCTTCTGCAGAAAGAGAAGTATACCCCTTCCCTCTACCAAAGTTGCCATCTAGGTAATGTTCTCCCCTAGGCATCTTGCTTTGTTCAGGTCCCACCTAAAAAAACAGATAGAGCAATGCCTGGTCTGTACAATATATTTCCACAAGGTTTTTGAAATGAAATGCAAAAATACAGTAACTATAGCACAAGCATCATCATGCCATGTTCTCATCCTCAGTCTTTTGAGGCAATCTCTTTAGATGTTTCTGTTTTAAAGTATTGTTTTCCTCCTTTTCACCAACTTCTTTTTATTAGGGTTATGACCTAGCAGGCTTTATCAATGTTATGGTTGGTGCTGTGGTCAAGAGTGGGAATGGTATAAGGCAGTAGTAGTGAACCTATGGCACTCAGAGCCCTCTCTGTGGTCACGCACACCAACACCAGCAGCAGGTCCATTAGGCCAACGCCGCTGCCCAGAACAGCAACCCTGCCCAGCACAAAGGAGGTTAAGCGGCCGGCTAGCAAGCTCAAGTAAAGATGGTAGAGCACCCCCATGCAAGCCAAAGGCCACCCCGAGCAGGGAAAGCTGGATCCCTATTGGTGCCATGCCCCCCCCAGTCCCAGCTAGGATTGCGTGCCTCTCCCCCATCTCTGCTGGGTCTGGGTGGCCATGACGCTGATGGGGATCTGGCTTTCCCTGCTCAGAGTGGCTTTTTGTTTGCTGGCCCTGGGCGTGCTCTACCACCTCTATGCAGGGCTTCCTAGCTGACTGCTTCATCTCCTTTGTGCTGGGCTGGCCTGCAGCTCTGAGCAGTGACCTAATGGACCTGTGCGAGCAGCTGGCAGCCGCGGTAGGTACTGAGGTGCACGAGAGGAATGCGTTCCACCTGTGGTGAGTGCACGGGGGCCGACAGCATCCGGTACAGGGGCTGTATAGCCTGCTGTGAATACTGGGTCAGCCCTCCAGCAGCAGCACTGTGGTGGCACCGGCAGCACATGAAGTTGGGGGAGCACATGATGTGGACTGCCAAACACACCTACTCCGTCTCATTTCCTCAGCCTCCTCATGAGTCTTGCCCTTGGCCCACCAGTGGAGTGCATTCCCCTCACACACCTCGGTACCTACTGCGGTCGCCAGCCACTCACGCAGGTCCATTAGGCTGCCACCCAGAGCTGCAGGCCCGCCCAGCACGAAGGAGGCAAAGCAATCGGCTAGGAAGCCCCGCATAGAGGTGGTAGAGCACACCCAGGGTCAGCAGGCAAAAGGCCATTCCGAGCGGTAAAAGCCAGATCCCCATTGGCGTCATGGCCACCCAGGCCCAGCAGAGATGGGGGGGAGGCATGTAATCCTAGCTGGGACTGGGGGGCCATGGTGCCAATGGGGATCTGGTTTCCCAACTCGGGGAGGCCTTTAGCTTGCTGGGTGTGCTCTACCACCTCTACTCCTTTGTGCTGGGTGAGGCTGCCGCTCTGGGTGGTGGCGGCGGCCTAATGGATCTGTGCAAGCTGCTGGCGGCAGCCTGAGGTGGGGCCAAGGTGTGTCAGGTGCTCGAGGTGAACAGGCTCCACATGCAGGCCAAGGGGAAGATCTGCGAGGGGGCCGAGATGACCAGCAGTGACCTGCTCTCCAACTGCAAGCAAAAACAGATGGGATGGACTACGTGCGTCTGGCAGTCTGCATCACGTGGCTCCCCTTTCCCTTACTCCACCTGCTGCTGGAGGGCTGGCAGTGGGCTGCAGAGCCCCAGAGTGTGCCAGTCAAGGGGCCGAAAGGGTGTGGCTGCTGACAGACACCATCGGCCCTCATGCGCTCACTGGCCTCTGTGTGCGGGGGCCGATTGTGTCAAGCAGCAGCCACCCTGGCCCATGCTTCGCCTTGCCTTGCCCCATGGCAATGGCACCCCCTCCCTGCCCTCTGCCTCACCTCGCCTCGCCTCACCCCACAGGATGAACCTCCTGCCCACTGCCCCACCTGCCAGAGACTCCCTGGATCTCCTCCAAATCTTCCTGGTCCCACAGGCGTCCCCCCCACGAGCAACATTGAGGTGGCCACACCCACCCAGTCTGCCATGACCACTGCAGCCACACCCACCCAGTGGGCAATGCCTCCCGCCCCCCCTGAGGGCACCACACTGCTGATGCAGCCTGGCACTTTGCGATAAATAAGTGGGTTTTGGGTTGCAGTTTGGGCACTCGGTCTCTAAAAGGTTCGCCATCACTGGTATAAGGACACCTGCCTTGGTTAGACTAGAAGGCCTCCAAGGTCCCTTCCAGCCCTATGATTCTATGATTTCTATCAGCTACTTCAGGCTTTTGCTCCTCCTCATTTCCAGTTGCTCGAGAATGGTCCATGGTAATTTTGCCTTGGATCTTAGGAGAAATGAGACACTCGGCTCCCACAGAAACATCTCCTCCCATCATCTCTGCCTGGGGCTTTCCGAAATGCTTGTTAGAGCTTGTGCAGACGCCTCATAAAGACAGCTTTTGTGCTTTTGAAAAAGTATTATACTGCCCACTCTTGTTTAGAGAATGCTAATTTGATTCTGCCCAGAAGGCTGTTTTCATTTTAAAAAGAAAAAAAAAAGCTACGTGATAATTAGCTTGATCATACAAACAAGGATTGATTTTGTTCATGTATTTCAGAGAGGTGACACATAGAACGTATGATCTGCACGCTGAATGCAACAATTCAATTAAAAATGAAACAATTCACAGAAGAATGTGAAAGGCCTTTACTTACCGAGAAAACTGGAGAGAAGCTTCCAATCAATTCAAGCTTGGTGGACAAAGGCTTTCTAATCAGTATCAGAAAGACAAATACAAGACTATAGGTTAGATCAGGGGTAGTCAACCTTGGCTCTTTTATGACTCGTGGACTTCAACTCCCAGAATTCCTGAGCCAGCTAAGCTGGCTCAGGAATTCTGGGAGTTGAAGTCCACGAGTCATAAAAGAGCCAAGGTTGACTACCCCGGATTAGATCTTGCAATTAAGTTTTGCTGTCAAGAGCAGATTATTCAGTTTTTGATGCTATCTGAATTTAAAACCCCTTTTATTGATAAACTGAAGAAATATAGATAACAGATATAACAGATAAAAGGATTTCAGATCTTATGAATAAAGCTTCTGATAAATCTGGGACAACTGCACCAGACTGATGTTTTTGTAACCATATCTCGTAATGTATTTAATGTGGAACGGAACAATTGTGTCTGTACAGGGAAATAAAATACATATAGACAAGATTAAGTGCCCATGCTACAATAGAACCAATTTCTCTCTTTTTGCATGTTCTGTGTAACTCTCTAAATCTGATCCAGAAAGTGGCTTGAGCAGATATGGGGACATAGGAGAAACTGTGGTGAAGGAACATAGAAAAAACCCATAGCTTGAACAGAAATACACTCATTTCATTTTGTATATATCCTGTAATCAAGGAGTAGTAATGAGCTTCATTACGATATGTTTTCTCTAATGTCATCATCTCTCAAACTTTTTACTGGATTTGTTTTGCTGTTGTTTGTATGAATACCCAAAGAAAATTAATCATCCATACTAAATCAAGCTGAATGGTTTAATTTAATTTATATGGCTTCAGCCTTAGAAAAATATATACACACTTGGGTTAGCCGCAGTTACGCTATGTAAATCCAATTAAAGGCAGTAAAGAGGCTAACATTTTGCAAGATCAGAATACAAAACAGCTTTCATTCATTTAACTTTATTTCAAACACAAACACAGATCAGACAATTAAAAAGCAGAAACAAACAAAAGCACCATAAAAATGGTTTGGCTATGTGCTATTTATGGTACATAGTATTCTCAGCATGTTAGTTTTAATATTAAATTTTAAAACACTAAAACCTAAATAGCCTAAAAACAAAAGTGTGGTATTGTTTAATAGCAAAGTAGTAAATTATGCACCGAAGTAAAATAGTGACTCCACCAATTGCAGTTTTCTTTTTTAAAAAAACCCATCAAATTTATTTTTCACAAATAAGGAATCTTATAAAGCTGAAATTTAATATAAAACCTAGTAAACAAACATTCTCAATCTTACCAGGTCCTATACATCCAGGGTCTGGCTGAGCGATGAAAGTTTTTCTCATTTTTCCTTAGGATTAGCTAACTCTCATGACTATCACGAGTGAATTCCTGGCAATGCAGCTTTTGATCACTATAATAAGCATGATTTAGCTATAAAATGGCTTTTATTCTTCAGTCTAACTTCTTCCCCCACTAGTTTAAACAACTTAATGTTAAGTCATTTTCCTTAACCTGATGTTTTCCAGATGATCTGTCGGGGCATTTTGGGGGACATCTAGAGAAAACAATCTGGAGAAGATGGTTTTGGCCCTATAATATGGTTGCCACTATTGCTACTGGCTGCAAGTAACCTAAGCTTGTTTTTTTTGTTTTAATCTAATAGTTCTGCTCTTTAGCCTAAGCTTGTATTCTTGTTGTTTTAAATTATTAATTGTGGTTCTCAAGGTGGGCCATACTTCTAGGGGGGCACAGTCTTTATGAGATACAGTTTAGCTTCATAAACAGGGAAAATGGCAAAGTACCTTTTCCTGGCTAGCAGCAATTATAAAAGGATGGTCATAGAGGTAAATGAAGGGGCTATGAACAAAAAAAGGATAGGAACCCCTGTTTTAGAGTATAGAGGAATCAACTCGGTTTTTCACTTGCCCAACTTTCAGATATGTGAAGACTGCTACTATATCTCCCCTCAGTTGTCTCTTCTATAAATTGAACTTACCTAAATCCTCACAAGGCTTCATTTCCAGACCCCTTATAATCTTTATAACCACTAGCTCCAGCTTCTCACTCTCTGTTTTGAAGTGTGGTGTTCAGAACTGGATGCCATACTCCAACTGGGTCTGACCAATGGATAGACAGAAACAATTATGTTCTGTGATCTGACAGTGTTCTCTCTGTATCAGTTGCTTTTGAGCAGATCATAATTAGTAGCCACAAAGAAGAGGATCTAGGTCTAAGATGAAGAACAAAATTACTTCTCCCTGCAAGCGGACAGTTCCATTCATGCTTGGAAATATCATATGCTCCTAATTTAGACAACAAAATCATAAACC